GAGCTCCCTGTCAGCCATCACCACCCCCAGCACCTTCAAGGTCAATCCAGTCACTTCAAGGATGCCATCCATCCATCTTGCCCTTGGTCGGCCCCTCTTCCTTTTTCCTTTCATTTTCCCCAGCATCATTGCCTTCTAGAGAAGCTTTCCTGTCTTCTTATGATGTGGCCAAAGTACTTAATCTTTGCCTCGAATATCCTTCCCTCCAGTGAGCAGTAGGGCTTTATTTCCTGAAGTATGGACTGGTTCGATCTTCTTGCAGTCCAAGGCATTTTCCTCCCACATCACAGTTCAGAAGCTTCTATCTTCCTTTGCTCAGCCTTCCTTATGGTCCAGCTCTCACACCCTTAGGTTACTACGGGGAATACCATTGCTTTAACTATGCGGACCTTCGTTGTCAGCGTAATGTCTCTACTCTTCACTATTTTATCAAGATTGGTTATTGCTCTCTTCCCAAGAAGTAAACATCTTCTGGATGGTGATGACACAATACTCTGGTGCACATTAAAAGTTTTCTTTCACATCCTTTAGCGAGAGTTTGCTTTGAAGCTAGCTTTGAATTGTACTAAATGCTCAGTGTAGGTTCAGGCTTTTCTCTCAATGATAGTTTCCTGTTGAGAATGCTCCAGACAGCAAATCTCTCTATATATAAATGCTCTGTTTGTTTTGAGTGACATCATAACTCAAAAACCTCTGGACTAATTGCCACCAAATTTGGCCACAAGATACCTACTAACCCAAGGAGTGAGTATCACTCAAAAATTGATTTTGTTATTTGTGAGTTGTAGTTGCTGGGATTTATAGTTCACCTACAATCAAAGAGAATTCTGAACTCAACCAACGATGGAATTGAACTAAACTTGGCACACAGGACTCCCACGACCAACAGAAAACACTAGAAGAGTTTGGGGGGCATTGACTTTGAGTTTTGGAGTTGTAGTTCACCTACATCCAGAGAGCAATTTCGAATCAAACAATGATGGATCTAGACCAAACTTGGCACGAATACTCTATATACCCAAATATGAACACAGATGAAGTTTGGGGGAAATAGACCTTGACATTTGGGAGTTGTAGTTTTTAAAAAATTGTAATTCTTATGGTGTACATATTGATAGGATCATCTGATGCTCATGTGAGACCGCCCTGAGTCCCCTTGTGGGGAGAAAGGTGGGGTAGAAATGTATATAATAAAATAAATAATAAAATAATAGTTGCTGAGATTTATAGTTCACCTACAATCAATGAGCATTGTGAACCCCACCAATGATAGAATTGAGCCAAACTTCTCACACAGAACCCCTATGATCAACATAAAATACTGGGTTTTCTGATGGTCTTTGTCAACCCTTCTGAAACCCCCTTGTGACCTCCCCAGGAGTCCTGACCCCCAGGTTGAGAAATGCTGCTTTAAGACCATCCAGCCCAACTCCCTTCACCAGGGCAAGAAAACATAATCAAAGCCCTTCTGATAAAGAGCCATCCAGCCATAGATATCGATAGATACATATGATTCACACACACACACACACACACACATGTATATGACAGATATAGTTTCATAGATTTGAAAGGGACCCCTAAAGAAGGACAATTATATATTGCAGGTTCCAGAGAAGGCAAATCAGACAATCAATACATCAACACTGACAAAGAAACAACAATAAATAATGTTTTCTTCTATAGGAACCTGATCAGCCCTTTCAACCAGTCCTGGCCCACATATAAATGGGGCGTTTGCACAATGGGATATGAAATTGGTTTGTTTAAATGCATAAGGTTTTGTTAACAGACTATGTTTATGTTGTAATGGCTACTCTGTATGTTTTATGTTGTCTGCGGAAACCGCCCTGAGTCCCCGAGGGGAGATAGAGCAGTATATAAATAAAGTATTATTATTATTATTATTAACACAACAAGATGAGTCCACTGCTGGATGTTGTATTGGATCAAACGTCGGACGCTTCCCAAGTGTCTAGGACTGTGTGATGTATTGGCGAACAATGCGTGCAGATCCCAGTAAGGTGGCCTTCTGCAGCTGGCAGATGGTAATTTTGTCAGCGCTGATTGTATTTAAGTGCAGGCCAAGGTTTTTAGGCACTGCACCCGGTGTGCTGATCACCACTGGGACCACCTTTACTGGTTTGTGCCAGAGTCTTTGCAGTTCGATCTTTAAATCCTCATATTGTGTCAGCTTTTCCAGTTGTTTCTCTTCAATCCTGCTGTCACCTGGGATTGCAACATTGACAGTCCATACTTTGTTTTTTAACACGATTGTGAGGTCAGGAGTATTGTGTTCCAAAACTCTGTCTGTCTGAATCCAGAAGTCCTAAAATAGCTTGACGTGTTCATTCTCTGTAACTTTTTCTGGCTTGTGATCCCACCAGTGCTTTGTCGCAGGCAGATGGTATTTGTGGCACAAGTTCCAATGAATCAACTGAGCAACTGTGTTGTGCCTCTGCTTGTAGTCTGTCTGCGCAATCTTGTAGCAGCTAAGGATGTGATCTATTGTTTCATCTGCTTCCTTGCAGAGTCCACACTTGGGATCTGTCATCGACTTTTCAATTCTGTCTTTGATGACATTTGTTCTAATGGGCTGTTCTTGGGCTGCCAGAAACAGGCCCTCCGTCTGCTTTTTCGAAGTCCCATTTGTGAGCCACATCCATGTTTTTTCTTTGTCAATTTGGCTCTCAATTTTTCCCAGGAACTGTCCATTATTGTTATTATTATTATTATTATTATTATTATTATTATTGACACAAAAACACAGTATGTCACAACAAACAAGATCTATATGCTGGATTTCGTATCACAAAATCACAAGTCGAACACTTCCCAAGCATCTAGGACTGTATGATGTATTTTCGAATGATGCATGCAGATCCAAGTCAGGGGGCCTTTTGCAGTTGACAGATCGTGATTTTGTCGATGTTTATTGTTTCCAAATGCTGGCTGAGATCTTTTGGCACGGCACCCAGTGCGCCAATGACCACTGGGACCACCTATACTGATTTATGTCGGAGACTTTGCAGTTCAATTTTGAGGTCTTGATAGCGGCTGAGTTTTTCCTGTTGTTTTTCCTCAATGCGACTGTCACCTGGTATGGTGACATCAATAATCCAGACTTTTTTCTTTTCCACAATCATGATGTCTGGTGTATTGTGTTCCAAAACTTTGTCAGTCTGGATTCGAAAGTCCCACAGTCAGGCATGTAGCCATGGGGAGGGGGGCTTGGGCTTCAGCCTCTCCGAAATTCTCAGGGTGGTCCACAAGAAGGCCTTACTGGTACATTATTTAAACTGTTATGTTTAGTTATGTCATGATCTGATCACCATGCTCAGTATATCCCATATGCATGGGGCGATACAAAAGGTTTGCTAGGGTAGATCCTCAGCCCACCCACCCCCCGCCCCCCGCTGAATCAAACTCAGCACCCCCCCCATCAAAATCCTGATTACGGGCCTGCCCACATTATTTTTGCATGTTCATTTTCCATGACCTTTGAGGGTTTATGATCCCACCAATTATTTATTTATTTATTTATTTACAGCTTTTATATTCCGCCCTTCTCACCCTGCATGGGACTCGGGGTGGATTACAGTGTACACATATATGGCAAACATTCAATGCCAATTTTTGACATACGAACATATACAGACATACACAGAGACTATTTAACTTTTTCTGTCACTTTCATCGTCCATCTGCGACGCTGATTTATTTATTTATTTATTTGCTGCATTTGTTGACCGCCGCTCTCAGCCCTAGGGCGACTCGCGGCGGTGCACAACATATAAAAACAGTTTACAATAAGGCACAACAAGAAATCAACATCAATAATACACACTAATCTAAATTACACTAGCTAATCCGCATCGTCACAACATAGAATCATAACCAATCTCATAATCCGTATACCGTTCCAGTTGTCCTTACCAGTCAATGTAGCACTCAGTTAAATGCCTTCTCAAATAGCCAGGTCTTTAGGCTTTTACGGAAAGCCATAAGGGAGGGCGCCTGTCTGATGTCAACAGGGAGGGTGTTCCACAGCCGGGGGGCCACCACCGAGAAGGCCCTCTCTCTCGTCCCCGCCAAACGTGCCTGTGAGGCAGGCGGGATCGAGAGAAGGGCCTCCCCAGACGATCTCAAGCACTTACAGAACCATTCCACCGCCATGCTTCCTCCGCTGAAATGCTTTTTGCTGGAGTCTTCTTTATCGCCTCATAAATCAGTTAATTTAGCCTCCCCACACTTTAAGGTGGTACCTTATTTTCCTACTTGACAGATGCAACTGTCTTTCGGGTTGCAAAGGTCGACAACAGGCTACACACAATTGGTTGGAAACCCACTCCAACCTGGGCTGGCTTCGAACTCAAGACCTTTTGGTCAGAGTGATCTTAATGCAGCTGACATTCAGCCTTCCGCGCCACAATCCTGGTGCTTATTATTATTATTATTTATTACTGACAAGCATAAAGAAATTACATACATTAGAAACCAACACTTTCCCATTTATTTTCCAGATCACCAAACTGGGCCACAGTAACGTGTGTCAGGGAACGGCTAGTGGTTGTATAAAAAGTTGGCCAAACATTGCAGTTGGGGGACGGGCGTCCTGGTGTTTGGAGGTGCCTTTGTCCCCCGCTTTCAGGAATGGCATTGTGTTCCCCATTGTGGCCGTGTCAGGTTTCATTATATGCCAGAAGGACAATGCACTGATCCCAGAAGAAGGCAGGAAAAAGAAAGAAAGAAAACACAGAGAGAAAGGAGAAGAATCCAGGGAACTGTTGATGGAAGAGTGGGTTGGTTGGATGGATGCTTGGCTTGCTCAGGGCCAGGGCTACTCTAGGTTTGGAGGGAGGCGAAGCGGTGCCAGGGAGAGAAAGGGGCCCAAGCCCTGTCCTCCCCCTTGGACACCCCCTTCTCTCTCTCTCTCTCTTTCTCTTTCTCTCTCTCCTCCCTCCGCCTCGCAACAGCTTGTTGCTGTGTGTCAGGAGGGAGGAGGCAGCCCAGAGGCAAAGGAAGGGAGGAGTTTCGCCCCGGCAGGCGGCTGTTTTCTCCCTCTTTCTCCCTCTCTCTCTTTCTCACTCCCCCTCTTTTTCCCCCCTCCTGGAGCCAGAAACGTCACCGCTGCCGTGTAACTGTAACACAAGAAGTGAAAGAGGGCCGAGGAAAGAGAAAGAGGCAAATGGCTCAACTTCTAACCCTGAACAAAGGCGGCAGGACCTCGGATTTTGTCCAGGCGACTCTTTAAAATCAAGTGGGGGACTTGGAAGAGGAGGAGGAGGAGGAGGAGGAGAAACCAACCTCTCTCTGGGCTTTATTTTTGGGAGATCTCAGAAGGTAATTTTCTATTTGCAACTTCAGGTTGTTATTGTGGAAAGGAAGGGCGAAAAGAGAGTGTTGCAAGGCGTGGCGAGGCTCAGCCAGGGATTGCATAAGTGTTCTCAGGGAAAGAGAGAATATATATGTGTATATGTAGGCACTGGGGACAAGGGATGATATATGGAGGTGAAGGAAGGGATGCGCCTCTATGCGCACTCATAAACAGGTTGGGGAAATAGGCAAAACAGTGGAAGGATTGCATTCTCTTCATGGGAACGCTGTCTCCATTCCAGAAGGAGAAGCTGGTGGCTCAAGCCTGGGAAGAGATGAAACTTTAGGAGGCACCCAGCTGCATTTCTTGGGTGTGGGGTGAATGCAAGACTCCAGCTCTGCATAACAAAGGGAGGAGGAGGGAACCTGGATCCTACTTTATTTAGTTTAGGCTTTATTTGGGAGGCAGAGTGGGGGGAATCTCTCTCTAAATGGACTCCGTTATGGGTGCTATTTTGGACCTGAGATGGGATAATAATAATTAAAGTCTGCCTGCGGCTTATTCGCTGGGAGAAGAATGTCTCCCCGCAATTCAGTGGAGCTTAACAACTTAGGAAAAGTTTACAAGGCGGCCTAGGCTGTTCAGTCTCCAGACGCATTCCCCCCCCCCCCCCCATGCCAGTATTTCCCAACCTTCCTAATGTTGCGACCACTTAACACAGTTCCTTATGTTTTGGTGACCCCCAATCGTAAAATTATTTTCATTTGTACTTCATAACTGTAATTTTGCTATTGTTATGAATCGTAATGTAAATATCTGATACGCCCAAATTTCATTCACTGTACCAAATTTGGCACAAATACCCGATACATCCAAATGTGAATACTGGTGGGGTTGATTTTGTCATCTGGGAGTTGTAGTTGCTGGGATTTATAGTTCACCTGCAATCAGAGTATTCCAAACTTCGTCAGTTGTGGAATTGAACCAAACTTGGCACACAGAACTCCCACGACCAACAGAAAATACTGGAAGGGTTAGGTGGGTATTGACCTTGAGTTTTGGAGTTGTAGTTCACCTACCTCCAGAGAGCACTGTGGACTCAAAGCAGTGATAGATCTAAACCAAACTTAGCACGAATACTCAAAATGCCCAAATGTGAACACTGGGGGTGTTTGGGGAAAATAGACCTTGACATTTGGGAGTTGCAGTTGCTGGGATTTATAGTTCACTTACCATCAAAGAACCCCTCCAACAGTAGAAGTAAGCCAAACTTCCTACAGAGAACCCCCATGATCAACAGAATATACTCTGTTTTCTGATTGTCTTTGGCGACCCCTCTGACATCCTCCTCTCGACCCCCCAAGGGGTCCCGACCTTTTGGTTGAGCAGCTCTATGTAGTCAAGAAGTCTGCATTGAAGATGAAAACAGATCCCACAAAGTGTTTTCACAACTGCTTACTTGGTCCTTATTTGTTTTTTAATCTTGCAACTCAGTTCAGAGAATAAATGGCACTTTGTTGCTAAGATATTTATCTTTCCTTGTGTATTACCTCTCTCTGTGTGCCTGTGTTTAGTAGAGGAGCCTGTTTTGTGAGGCTGGCTTCTTTTTCTGTCAGTCCTGCAGTTCATTGTCTCCTATCCAAATCTGAAAGACGTCATGTTGATACTTGCATATGTATAATTGGATGCCACTGATCATATTGGTAGGAGAGAGGAGAGGAACTTGTGTCCCTGTTTTCTCATAAAATTGGAGCCGGGGTTGCATAAGAACCCTTGTGCGATTAGCATTGCAGGTCAGTTATTCAAGGAGGCGTCTTTAGTTTCACAAAAGTAACTGCCATAGCCATCTTGAGTAAGCTCTGACTAATAACATCAGCCCCAGTTCTGTTTGTTTTATTTTGAGTCATTCGTATTAGGCATCGCTTTATTTAGGACTTCAACAATGCAAAAGGCTTGTTTGGTAATTTTACTCTTCTTTTGTTAGGTCTCATGGTTAATATTCTGTATGGAACATATACAGAATGAAGAAGAATTTTAAAAATAAATCTTAGATATAAATTTGATAGTGGAAAATGAATATGTTCTTAACACCCACGTACGTTTCTGGTACGCTGAAAGTTACAGCCCTACTGGGCAAAAACATAGATTTATCTAATCCAGCATCCTGATTCCCATGGTGACCAACCCAATACTTCAATAAGGCATGTGTGTAAAGGCAGCAGCTTTTCTGTTATTGATTTCCAGTGATTGGTATTAATTGTTCACTAGGATATTGAGGTTGAACATGGTGGCTCTATTAAGTATTGTACAAAATGGCTATTGAAGGATTCACTCTCCATGGATTTGGTGTACCTTTGGTCTTGGAGACCTTTGGCCTCCATGTGTTTTGGACTGCACCTTCCCTGACCTCTTACCTTTGGCTGTGTTGCTTGGGGTTTTCTGGGAGCTGAAATCATGAAAACATCTGGACTAAACTTTCTTTTAAAGCAGTGACTCCCAAACTTTGGGGCTCCAGCTGGACGTCCGTTCTCAGAATCCCTGATCATTGGCCAGACTGGCTGAGGTTTCTGGGGACTGAAGTCCAAAACATTTGGAAACCAGAGTTTGGAAACCTCTGCTTAAAAGAATCTTGTGGCTGCAAATTCCAGATTTCATTCTGCAGAATGAATTGAAAATCAAAGTACAGTAGAGTCTCGCTTATCCAACCATCCATCCATCGTTCTGTATTATCCAACGCAGTCTACCTTGTGCCTGAATCCACAGCTGTTTCAATACATTGTGATGTTTTGGTGCTACATTACTGTGCTTTTTCTGTTGATTAGTTGTAAAATATGATGTTTTAGTGCTTAATTTGTAAAATCAGAACGTAATTTGACATTTAGTAGGCATTTCCTTAATTCCTCCTTATTATCCAACATTTTTGCTTATGCAACGTCCTGCCAGCCTGTTTATGTTGGATAAGTGAGGCTCTACTGTATATTTTATCCCTCAAGAAAGTAAGAATTATTTCCCAAATATTTTCTAAAATGGAGCACAGACTTAGAAAAACATGGTGTGTTTTAAACTTATTCCTTTCTTTTTAAAGTTAAAAAAAGGAAAATAGATGGTATCATTAAGTTAGTCACACCCTAATATCGTGGGAAGCTTGGGACATGCACATTTTGCAGTGGTATATAGTTTTAATTAAATACACACAAAACTGTTGAAATTATTTGAAACTAAGATACATGCAATTTTCATGTTTCAGGTGTAGATTAAAACCAAATATTAGCTTCTATGAAGGCGTAGTGTGTCAGGCAGGCAGGCAGCCAGATAAGGTAGCTGCCTCATATGTCTTCATTGGCTCTGTGCCTACAGCTTAGCACAGTAATAACACGGTTGTAGCTGTACTTACTTAGGCATAAGCCCCACTTAAAACAGTGGGACTTATTTCTGATGAATATGCAGAGGGCTGAGCTGAAGTGCATGATTACTGCAAATGCAGAGCCACCCTGGTGCAGTGGTTTGAGCACAGGACTGAGATTTTGGAAATCCAGGTTTTAGCCCCACTGACTCATGACATTCACTGAGTGACCTTGAGGCAATTGCTTGTCAGGACAAAATGGTAGGGTTGTTGTAAGGACAAAATGGGAAGGAGGAGCACCTTGAGCTCACTGAAAGAAATGCAGGATATAAATGCAGCTAATAGTCTAAATATGTTAGAATGTAAATCTTTAAAAGGGGCAGCCAACATTGGGCATTCAGTCAAGCTGGAAGAGTGGGAAAGAATTTGGAACAACAAATTAAAGTATACCTATTCATATGACTTGAAAGAAAATTGGTACAAAATGATGTACCAATGGTATATAACTCCTCAAAAATGGGCGAAATGCTACAAAAATATGCAAGGTAAATATTGGAAATGCGAAGCACATGTGGGCACTTTTTAATCACATGTGGTGGTCTGTAAAATAGCGAACAATTATTGGAAAAATATAGTTGAAAGCATCCAGAAAATATTGAAAATAAGAATTCAATTGAAACCTGAATATTTTCTGTTGGGAATGATGGACCTGAAGCTAAACCCCCCCCCCCCCCCCAAAGATGTTTTGTTTAATTACTTTGTGACCGCAGCCAGAATAACTTACACAAGAAATTGGAAAGTTAAAGAAATCCCATCAATAGATGAATGGCTATTGAAAATAGTAAATATAAGGAGTATGGACAGATTGACTCACCTATTAAAAAAACACCAAGATGCCCCTCCCCCAAACAAATTGGACATTATTTAAAAACTTTAAAACAAGTAAAATGGTGTCCTTTATAGAACATGGCAAAATCAAGGTGTGTTTTTTGGATTAAAAAAATATTTTCAAGTCAGAGTTGAATCTATATGTTCAGAATCTGTGGATATGGATGGCCGACTGAATAAGGAAACAAGCCACATTTCCTGGCACAGTATTTGACTAGTGAACTGTCTGAGTTGCCTCATTGTAGAACTACATGCAACAGGAGCAAGTGTTGAGAACCTGAACATTTTAGCTGCAGTGTACCAAAGGGCACACCCTTTTAACATAATTCAAATATTTTCCTTGTCATTTCCCATATAGGTCAGTTCAGGAGTGGGTGTTTTCTGTTTTCATTTCAATAGTTATTGAATATAATGATGCCCTAGAATACCCTCTGTTTTTGCTGCTGGTATAAACCTTTTTAAATAGAAGATCCATTGTATGTATTACTTTTTTGCCTTTTTATTTTCAAAATTATTGTGAATCGTGCTACACAAAATTATACAAATATTCAAAACATTTTCCCTTAGCAACACATGTTTACATTACTGACTCACCAATATATAGGAAAATCCTAGGGATCTAGTAAGTTGACTCTCGTTTGGACAAATCTTAGGAGAGAAAGCTTGATTTGCTGCTGAATCTGGAGAACTTGAGAATGGAGGGCGTGGAGGATATCAGTCTGCCTTAGGCGAAAAAGTAACTGGATAAACCAATTCAAAAACCTGTTGTTTGCACCTACTGTGGTAGCCATATTC